TGCCCATATGCAAAAAAATAGTAATATGGCCTATGGTTTCCAGTTCAGCCTCAGAAAGTTCCGATTCAGAATCTCTAGGATGGCCAGTTTGCATTCGTCGAATAGAGCATTGAGTTTTGAGTGTAATAGAATGTGTTTGAGTATTTTAGACTTCCTTTTCCCATCCAGTGAGGATCGAAACCAAATCCGCATGGAATTAGCATTCCTGGGATAAAATATAATTTACTGAAACAATATTTTTTATTTTTAAACTTCAGAGGTGATATTCATGATCAGCGTGAAATTGCGCATCGAATGATATGTTTCTTGCAATGAAAATACACAAAAAGTTGTGGACCTATCCTTGAGGGGGGCCTCAGGTCGGAAAAATTGGTCAGACGACTTTTTCAAAATGGAGTCCTGAAATATGTTCTCCATGTTCGATTTCATATATCTGAGTGATTTTCACCCAAAAAGAGAGAGATCCAAAAATGACCTTAACGCCACTTGTCCTTTGTGAAGTTTTCGCAATGGAAAAAATCAAAGAAATTTAAACAGCGTGTTGCAACAGTTGCAGGTTATTTTTGTTAAAATAAGAATAAAATATTGTGAAACATCAATGGAATACTTATTATTATAGAAATAAATTCATAAAACAATTTTTCAAGTCATCTGTTAATAGCTTTGAATGTTAACGAAGTCTTAGCTTCATAACGAATGTTCCAAGTTGCTTCTTTAAATCTTTTCTTTTGTTCCTCTCGTCTCGACAGCCACTAGATACAGTGATTTTCAATTTCTTTACTGTAGCCTATGATGTCATTTCAATAAAATATTTATCCTTGCTTTTTGCTACCTTACTGTGTCTCGCTCTTTGAGCCCTAATTGGTATGTGAATGTATTGGCTGATAAAATCATATAATTAAAAATTCCCTCTCAAACTAATTTTTTCATGAATTATTCTTTTCACTGACATTATGCATCATAATCACAAGTGATTTCTACTAATAAATAATAAAGAATATTAATCAGTGCTATATTTTTGTTAATTTTGTAGCCAGAAATAGTTCATTTATTGATGTCAAGAAATTTAGAGATAATGTACACTTTTTTTGTTTTTTAAATTGTCAACTATTTGAATCTTTATCCAACACATCTATTCATTTTCGTGTATAAGAAAATATGTCAGTACTCTAAATATGTGACTTTAGATTATTATCATTAAAATGGATCGATGTGTTGAACAACTTACACGTGAGGAATAGTTATGGCATTCATCGCACTATAAGAACGGTAAGAAGCCACGTCATCATGTTTTTTAAGCAAACGTCAGCATGACACTGAATTTTGCATGTGGTTTATCTCGTGTAATTGCATCATTTAATAAGAACAGTATCTTCTAGTATAAATAATCGAAATTTCCACTTTTATTCTGTATATTTATCAAGTATTTGTGCATCAATTTCTATGAAATATATTATTTTTGGATTAATTGTGAATAAATAATCAATCGATATTTCATATTTATTTTTCTCAACCATGAAAGGTGTCATTAATGCCATTCGAAATTTAATTCGTAGTTCAATACAAGATTCATCTCAACAGAATTTAACTATTCACCAATTAACAATAAATTCATTATTAAATAAGCCATCTACTGTTACACTGATGGCTCAACCATTTGAAGTTATTGATGTTACTACCAGTAATATTGACATAAGAAGCGGAGCACCAGAAAAATCTGATGGCTGATCAAATCATTAGAATTTGGTACTTTTTTCCATGAATTAAAAGAAAAATTCATTATATCGACAGATATTGTACCCTAATTTGGTCTATAAGAAAGAAATGGTATGTATACTATCACGTAATTCGACTTTTGTTTATTTCTTCAATTCAACTTTTGATTTTATGTTAGTTAATGTTACTGTTTCTACAATTTTGTGTTACATCGCCTTTTTATATTTTGCATTTTGAAACAAGTGACATCAAGAAAAGCACAATACCAGGTATACTTACTAAAGTCGTGATAGCAACATGCATCCTTTCTACTAGCTACAATATTTATCAATGTAATATATATATAAAAACAGTATCTTTTTATTATATTGTAATTCGTTATAAATTGAATTGCATTAAATTAATAGCGAATTAAAACAAAAGAAATGTTGTTTCCTGTTTAATCATGAATAAATATTTTAAGTTTAGTAACAGATTCATGATCAAGTGAATGCCAATGAAGAACTTCTAAATCTTCTTTCATATGCTTTTCATCTGTTGTACCAGTTAATGGTGTTATACCGATATCCATTAAAAATCGAAAAAATACTTGAGCCGGTGTACCATGACGATCTTGAGCAAGCTGTCTAATGAGTGGATCAGCAAGAATTTGTGGATTTGCAGTTAATGTCCAAAAACTTTGATAAAAAATATTTTTTTCTCGACAAAATTGTCTTATATCATGATCAAAATTGGTTTCAGCATGAAAACGATTTTGTATAACAGCAGGTTTATGTAGAGCATCTTCATATAATTTTCTCAACTTATTTAAATCGTATAGATTGCTAATACCTAATTGTTTAACACGACCTTCGTCAACAAATTTTTCGCATTGACGATAAACTTCCATTGTTAATTGATGAGATCGTTCAGGACCGTGGAGTACCAATGAATCAATATAATCCGTTTGTAAATTTTCTAATGATGTTGAAAATGATTGACGAACTTGTTCACTTAACGATACACGAGGATCATATGGCAAAGGTTTCGATCGGTCTTGCCCATCGATACTTGTAAATTTTGTTTGAATAAATAAATCTTTGCGAGATATATTATGTTTATTGTGAAGTTCAACAAGTGCTTGACCAACGAGATCTTCACTAAAACAAAAATAAATAAACATTTGATTTCGTTCACCATATGAAAACAAAAATTACGTGCAATATCTACCGATAATGTTTTGGTTGACATGCTGTATCAATACCACGAAACCCGTTAAGTATAGCTTGAATTACTAGTTTTGTTGTGGTCTCCTTTTTCCATGCAGTACCGTAAATTAAACGAGGCATTTGAACACCGGCATTTGTTGTTACAGTTGTTGAGGACATTGTCTTGTTTTTATTGATAAAATGAAAATAGATTGCGAAAAAAACAATGATAATACAAACTTTAGTTTTTAAACTAATTATCTGAAACATTCATAATAAACCAAAATGGACAGTTACTCCAAAGAAAGATTTATACGAATTTAAAATATCTATTCAAACTCCGCCAAACGAATTTTTAACTTAAAATTGATATTTAATTAACATATATAATGCATACTCGGCCTATGATTTGATTGGTAATAAATCAGAGGATAACTTACTTCTCTTTCTTTCTTGTTTGCTTGCCTATGCATATATATTATTTGAAATATTAAGACAGTCTTACTTGAAAACTAGTGTCATCTACAGTGAATAATTTGAATCTTGAGATCGTTCAAAATTTTCTATAAGATCTCTCTACAGGGAGACGAAAAGTAGAAATAAAGATGTATCAAATTATTTGATATACTTTGAAATGAAAATCACATGATACTTTTTTTTTGCTAATTCAAATTTTTCATGGTACTTTGTTGAAAAAGCAAACTAATATTTGCCAAAAACCTCTTCTTCGCTTGAAATAAAAGAAATAATACTTTCATTATTTCGAAATAAAAATACGGGACCAAAAATTTTCTGAGCAGAATATCCAATGTGTAACTGAAAATGAATATGTGAGTATAAGTCATTGAAGAAGCAACCATTGATTGTACATATTTTCAATAGATTAAAGCGAAAACAACGTTCGATACGGTTTGTCACATTTGAACTCATTTTATTTGAGAAAATAGAAAGCATGCTTGGAAATGAAAAAAATCCCACATGATTTCGACTCATAGATATTTTTTGGGATTATAAAATCGATGGATACATAATTACATGATAAACTTCGAATCGATAATTGTTTTTTTCGAATAACACATCTTATGATGAAAATAAAGTCCATTCATATAATCTTTATTCAACGAAAAAGTTTTGTGGATTGGAGTTTCGTTGAAGTTACTGTTGTCTAGGATTTATTTATTGTCAATATCAACACGAACTTAAAATAAATGACCTATTTAGGATATTTTGTGGATTAAGGGAAAACTAATTCAATCTTGTATAATCCCCACTATGAAGTTAAGTTAACATTTGAAAATAAAAAACATACATTTATGGTATTGTATATTTTAGAGCAGTTACCTTTTCTCTATTTTTCTTATTAGTAACATCTTCAATGGGATGCTTGTTTTGATTTATTGAAATAATCTAAAAAATTTTGATTAATGCTGTACAATGTTCTAAAATGTACCAACGTTTGAAATACAGTTACTTTTTCTTTTTCACACTATAATTATTAATTCAAAGTAAAAGAAAAAGCAGTTCAATTAATTGTAAATCAAACAAATATTCAAAAAGGTGGAAAAAAATATGTAAATTTTTGCTCTGGAAGAAACAAGAATGTTGATTTGTATGATTTCTTTTTTTTGTCGAATAGAACAACAAAACATTCATACACGAACACACTATCATATGATTATTATGAATCATTATGAAGATTGTTCGATGGAAAAAATAACAGACGTGTCTTATCTGCTCATGAAATAAACATTCACACCAATGTTATACATTTGACTTACTCATCCATCATCGTCCAGCCAAAATTTATCAGTTCTCATTCGAAATATAAGACATCAAGTTGCATCTTATTTAAACTTGTGCGAATGAAGATTCTTCACTGCAGATGAACAAATAGAAAGTAAGATTGACTGTAGATATTTGAGAAGAATTTCTTTTAGTTTTTGAAAATCAATTCATTCATATTTAACAATATGTATATGAATATTTCTTGTCGGTCTTACGGATAGCATATCTGGCAATTATATGGTTATTCTAGTTACTATTTATATGTTAGTATTGAAAAAATAATATTCAACATAGATTTATAAATTTTACATATTTCTTACGATTGGATAAAACTATGATCTACACATGGACTTTACTTCAACTTGTGAGATCACATTATTATCCTATTGTTGAAATATCTACAACACATGATTTGATTGTAACATGGATAGATGAATATATCTGATTGAATTGAAACTATTTTCGAATATAATTATATAGAAAACAAGACAATATTTTCAAATTTTGTTACCTACGACAGAATATTGTTTTCTCTTTATAGCAAAATTAAAAAAAGTTACAACAAATTATGGATTCATTATATGGCTTTGATAACTTTCACAATAATGGTTAAAATGTTAGTGAAATCTGCTGCATATTCTAGATAACACTGGTGGTCTAGACTAACTTCCTCTCAATCATATCTATTTTTTGATTATATAGATCAATGAAACGTCATAGCTATCAGCATCACATAATAGAATATTTGAGCGTGAAAGAAATTTACAATAACAAAATCCATTAACTTCATGAACAAACTTTTCTATAGATAGTCAATATTAGCTATTTCGTATAATTCTATATCATTTATAGAATTCAGCGAAAAAATACTATTAAGAATGCTCTACATATTCACTTTTCATTTGAGAAGAATTGGAAATTAAAATTTTATTTCTGCCAGAATAAATAATATGTCAATAATCCTAAAATCCATTATAAAATTGCTCAAAGAACTTAACTATAAGAATAGTTATAATCTTGCAGGAAGATATAAAAATCTGGTTTCAATATCGAAGAACTTAATAAACAAATACGATTCATTCTGTCTTATATGTTCATTGCGCAGAAATCTATTACCATTCTTTTTGTGAAATGAATGTTTTCCGGTGAAAAAGAACAGCATTGGCACTGCTTCAATAAATGATAAAAAATTTCTAGAGCACATGCGAATGTTTTTATTTTCCATTCATTTTTTTTGTTGTTCAAATCTTTTGTTGTTCAACATGTACTCATACATATGAATCAAACACACAAAGAAATAGAGAGAGAAAAAAAAACGAAAATCAGAACAGAGCAAAAGCCGAAAGAAAAAACAACAAGATAAGTTTTATGGCACGCATATGAGCTTACTTTTTCGTATTAACACAAGAATAAGACAAGAAAAAAATCAAATAAAGAAAAATACTATACTATCTTTAAGTTATATCTCTATGTAGAATTTTGTCGTCGTAAGATAAAGGAAAAACAAGAAAAATGAAGTTTAGAGGCATAAAAAATCATAAGATGTATATGGTGATGAGGGAACTATATCTGTCGAGTTCGTACCAAAACTTGATAAAGGCGTATCAATCCAACCACTACTGTCATAATGTTGATCAAGATCAGTCAAATGATTGAATGATGAATCATGTAATGTTTCGTATTCTGTAAAAAAAAGACATAAACAAATGAGAAATATATTTAAAAATACACGAAAAGAATTATCTACCAATTGAATCATCCATATTATTTGTTACTATTTGTTGACTATTACTAGTAGGAATACTAAATATATTATCATTATCAACAAGATAATCAACCAATCTTGGTGCTGATTCAGTAATAAAGAATGAAGATAATGATAATGATGATGATGGTGGTGGTGGTGGTGGTGGAGGGGTCATAGATAATAATGTTGGGGATGGTAAAGCAATATCATCATGTTTATTGATTATTTGTATACGTACAGCTCGACGTGAGGGTATAGGAGACGTTTGAGTTCGAAATGTAGGTGTGACAATAACTGTTTGAGGTTGCTCGATCATTTGACCAAACCAATCATTGTTATTATCAAATGGTGATAGAGATATAACTGATTGACACATGAGCAAAACATTTGATTGAATAGGATGAGGAGTTACATTTGAAATGGGTGGTAATGATGGTTGAGATGAATAAGAAGTAGATGATGCAAAATGATGGGTTGATGATATTTTAGTTGATAATTGTTTTTGAGCTAGAAGAATCAATAAAATTTAAAAATCAATATTCAAACAGTAAGACAAACGTGCGAATGAATGGTTCTTTTTAACTGCTTTTTGATATCCAGTCAAGGAGCGTTGCTTTGGTTTAAATTTATAATCTGGGTGATCAATATGATGTTGACGTTTCAATGTATCAGCCAAATCCAAATATGGTTGTTTTTCTTCAACAGACATATGTCTAAAATTAAATTAAAAAAATTGCAGATCATTCATTAGATCAAATTTTTTTCTGTACCGCCACGTTTCACCAAGAAGTTTACTCAATGATGTTTGACTAACACCGTAACCATCACTTGATACACGCTTTCTTTCACCACGTGCCCATAATAAGAATGCATTCATTGGGCGTTTAACAATAGAATTCCTATTGCTTCTATCATTATTATTATTATTATTAGTAGTAGTAGTAGTACTAGTAGTGATGATTGTATTAGCATCAATATTAATATTAGTATTAGGGTTTATTTCAAAAGTTTGTTCGTATTGATCTTCCATTGTTGTTATTGGTGTCATAGCTTCCATTTTCGGCAAGAAGGAATCCATTGCCAAATACTAATAATTAGTATAAAGTTAACATAATGATTCAAAAACAAAGAAAAATTCTATAAACTTACATCATGAAATGACGAAGATGGAGCTGACATCATCATCATCATTTAGCGAATGTTTATTTTCTATACTGTATGGATTAGAAAAATGATATACGTAAGTTACATGTAGTCCACCCTGGACTCGAACGAAGGAGTGTATAAGTAGAAAAAAAGAAATAAACGTGCGTTTAAGTGTCCAGTTGGAATGAATCATAGATTTATGTACGTTGACTAAAGAATCGATTCTATTTTACTTTATGGAAAATATCATAGGTTATCGAATTGGTTCCGCGTGCATATTTTGACATGCGAAGGAAACAAAATTATTTCAAGTTTTCTCTGTCAATGCAAAAGAACGAACGTTAATTCACAGAGAAACATAATTGATTATTTTGATTAGCTATTTTATTTTAAAAGAAGAAAAAAAAGAACAAAGTAACATCTTCATGAATGAAAAGTATGATTTGACGAAGGATAGTAAAATGTTGCACAAGGAGAATAAATCGAGTGATCATTTATTGGCGATGATTGAGCTAAGTAACAACATGGACACACGTTTGATGTCGATGGAGGTGCTGCTGGTGTATAATAGTAAATTGGTGGCATTGACTAGAATTACATAGTTCATAAAGATGTAGAAAACAAAATAAAAGACTTACAAGAGATGAAAGTGGTGGTGGGGGTGGTGGCGGTGGCAGTGACGTATAAACTAGTTTACCAGATACCAAATTTGGATCATTGCGCTAAGGAAATATGCAAAGTAAGGTTCATCTTGAGAGAAAATAATAAAGATTTACTCGTCGGTTAGAAAACCAATCTTGAATTTGTTTCAATGTTCGACCAGTCATTTGAACAAGTTGTTGACGTTCAATTGTCGATGGATATGGATTTTGTTCATAAAACATAATTAGAATTGAACGCTGTCGTGTATTAAGAGGTTGACGTGAGTTTTTTTTAGAACTCGACATTATTTTCTTCTGTTCAAGAATAAGATAAAGTCGCTGTTTTTATTCAACAATCCGATAACACCACTTTCAGTTGATCCCAATATTGAGGATACTAATCATCGATTCTTAACATGATTTACTTAATTGAGCCAATTAAGGACAAATAAGGAAAAAAGAACAATTAAAGCATATGCACTCTTTCTCTATTGAATTGTCAGTGTGCAATGAAGAATAGAACAGAACAATAATAATTATGCATTGAATATCAGGCGTACACAAAAAATCAGTATGATTTTTCTGGTCGTATATATATAAAACACAAACGTCACATAACATAAGTTAATTAAGAAGATGAATTTTGAACAAAGATATTCACCTTTATATTTGTGAAATCTATAAGACAATAGTTAACTAAAGTTTTTAGAGAATATAGTTGTAACAGATGCCTATTACTTATCTAAAATAAAAACTTACGAAATGAATATTTTATTCTATCCATCTATGTAGTTTTTGTACAAATGTATTACACGTGTTCTCTATTCAGTCTAATTTGTACGTATCAAATAATCGATTTATCGACTTACATTTACACTCCTAAAGATCTTATTCAAAACTTTACACCATTCATTATAATTCCATTACGAAACTTACCAACAAAAAACTGTACATCAATATTCTTAAGATTCATAGATTCGATTTATTTCTTTTTAAATATTTTCGAATCTGACACGAATTCTTATATTTTTGTTCATCATAATAATAACAAATGATTCTTCAATATAAAACAAAATAGCTACGTCAGTGACTCAAAAACACTATGAATAAAATTATCGAGAGAACACAAGATAAAAATGTGAACAACATATTTCTAATAACTTGGAGCCAACGTTAACTCATTGTTAAGACATTTCGATTTATGTTTATATCCTTTTTGAATTTTGTTTCACTGAAGATAATTGTTTAATATCGTTCTATGCATGTATAGATTTCATCGGATAGTAATTCTTTTTTTATACTATTGATTAATATAATCATTTTTAACAAAGCGATATGAATCAATTGCTATAATAATTTATGTGTGCTGATATTTTCGATTGATTATGAAGGGATCATAAGCGAAAGAACTAATTCAGTGTCTGATGTGCAACAAAAACATGCGGTAATGAGTATTAACTTGCATGAAATTAGGCACTCGAATATTCGTGGGAGTACTTTTAAAAACATTGTTTCCGTAACAATGTTTAAAGATAATCATCAATTCAGTAAACCTAAAATTGAAAAGATCAAATTAAATCTCGATTTTCGTTTGTTGATATTTCTCTGCGGCGTGTAAGGCAGTATTTATTTCAACATGTAAATGGTAATTGCTGATGTAATAAACGCATTGAAAATGACTCCATTTATGTATGCTTGATGAATGTTGATACTCAGCAACATTTAAACATAATATTTTTATTTGATCGTGCGTAATAGAACTTTTTGTTTTTGAGATGTTCGAAAGAGAAAACGAATGATTATCAGTATGTGTTTTTGATCATTTACTGTTCATAACTATTATTATTTAATAAAACCATCAGTGTATCATCCATATCTTTAACGAAGATAAAAATCATAAACAAAACTCATTTCAATCAATCTAAATCATTGCTTTTATTAAAAATCCATGCTGTCCAACAACAAAAGTATGAAACTTGACATACTAATTCTTTGTTGATGTTTGATTTCGTCGATATGCAATATATTTTTAATAATTAGGTTTCTTTAGAGAACGGTAAAAAATATGATTTCTAAAAAATAAAAGAATGAAAATGAGACAATAACTTAAACGAAAAATAAATATAATCTTTTTTTTTTCGACTACAATTTCTTATGTAATAGTCATAACCTGAGTCTAGTTTAAATCAGATCAACAGTTGCCTAGATATTAAAATATATTAACAAAACGATGCTATTTTCAAAAAGACTCTATTCTTAGTTTTTGAATGTTTTTCAATATGTTGTTTTTCTTTCGCACATACGTATATAGATGCAAAGTCTACGACAGAGATACAAACCAATAAAATATGACATGTTGATATATATATTCTGCTCAAAACTTTTCACTTAGTTTTATTTATTGCATTCTAATATGATAAATTTTGATAATATTCATAAATAAAATATATCGAAGAAACTATCAGATGGAATAAAACTTAGAACATATCATATTGTTATGTATACTGCAAAAACTGAGTCGATTTATATATGTTTTGAATAATTCTGAGAAAATTTTTTTTTGAAAAAATCCCTGTACNTGTACAAAATTTCAAGACAATTGGATGAGGCTTTCAAGAGTTATCGTGTTAACGGTCGGACACACTGACCGAATCTAGTGTAGTCACTTTTTGAGTACACAAAAATGTTTCTATCTTCAACAAATAGAAATAGGGTTTTCTATGAAATTACGTTTCGATAATCATGAACAAACTCAGGGTGTTTTTCTGTCGTCGAGTGCTCTGTGGTATTCATTAATTCTGTCTTTATGTTGATCGTAGAATTTTTCTATGTTGTAAAGAAACCTAAAAATTATTGTTTCGTCTTCTATCAACTAAAACAAACAAATAAAAACAATACATATGTAAATCATTCCAGGTCTATTGCTTTTCTTATAATTAAATTTTAGGAAGTACTCATTTTACATTTTCACAATGTATCTTATCCAAAATGTTTTCTCATCATAAATTTTCAGTTTCGAATAAAAACTCTATTCCAATCGATTGTATAAACAAAGAATATCATTAAATAATATGTTCATTTTATATTTATGGCACTATTTTATGCATAAATTTGAAGAATTCTTCACATTAACAATTGAAGGCCAGTTGTCTGGTTGACAACGAATTTTTCTGCTAACGTCACGTACAAACATAACGCTCGGAGTCATTCTATTCGGTAGCAGAAATCATGTATAGTTTCGCGTAGATAAAGAAATGAAAAAGTGAAGTCATATATATGCTATATAAGGCGAGAACAGGTAGACATTTGACATGTAAAAACATTGTCTCAGCCAGTGCAAACGCAAACCATGACAGCCGAACGATCTCAATGTGACAATGAGGAAGATGCTCAAGGATTTGAAGAAGTACCATATGGTTCATCAAGTGTGCCAGATTCTGGTAACGACAAATCCTAGAAAAGAAACAACTGCATCAATGATCGGAATTGATGCCAACATGCTGGTGAATCATTGTCAAACAAGATAGTTTTCATCGTCACTATTTGGTATGATGCTCAGGTGAAAATACACAAGGAAATTTTCGTTAATGCAAACAACACTGATCACTTTCATCGAAACTTATCCAAAAAAGTATTCCTGGATTTAGTAAAAAATATTTTTGTGTAAAGAAAAATATCTGATGAACAGCTGAATCCTTCATTAATTTTATTGTTGATTTATTTTTGACGTTTTTCTAATTTATAATATAAATGGAGCCGTTTTTGATGGTATATCTTCAATAATAACAACAAGATCTTTTGGGAAAAGCTTGAACATTCTTTATCACTCTATTCAAATGTTCATTATAACTTGAGATTAGTATTGCAATTCGAAAATGAGAAGGGGTAAAAACGAATTAGAAACAAACTATGAAAAATTCATTCATCACGAGAATGAGCATAAGTTTACGTGTTAGGTAATGAACAGCATTCCGTACTTAATCGATATAAATCATGATACTGTTGAAACTGTGGACCTGACAAATCATATTTAAGTCGATCAGAAGCCTGATTTTTTTAATGTACTAAAAAATTGAATTTGTTAAAAGTATAAAAACAAATAATGAAGATTTTCTTTTTCTCAACTTGAAAACTATGATTGAATATGCTTTATTGCCGTTGGATCTAATTTGAATTCTTTGAATTTTCGTGCGTATGAACTATTTAAATAAAGAAATTCTTCAAGTGGATCATGCAGAAATTCAACACGATTTGATTTCATGTCATTAGGAATACTCAATTTCAATTTTTTTCAACAGATTGTCGATACATAATCCTAATCAATTCCATTCTATGATTTATGCATATTCAAGCAAGAAATTTCGAGTATTTTCAAGTCGAGTCAATGATGCCTAACAGTGGACACCAAGAGAAATTGGCTTACTATTAACAACAAATAGAATGGTTGAATAATCCGATCCAGTACAATCAGGACGTTTGAATAATGTTCGATTTTCCATAGCAAAACAAGCAGCAATTGGATACCCTTGTGATTATTAAGCACATTACCAAATTTAACATCCCAATTATTCGAAATAATTACTTTTTTTACTGAGAAATCTTTAAATTTTGAATCAACTATGGGAATACTATTTAGCTTCTTACATGATTCAGTTTTATGAGCTAAGCCAAAATATCGAGCTGATCGATCTTTCAAAACAGCAAGTAAAAACATAATGCATTAAAATTCTCGATTTTATTAATTTTTTAATATAGAAAATGTCAACTTATATAATTTCTATGTTTAATCCTTCATAAAAGTGTGCAATAGCTCTTCGTGCCTCGTCTCTTGTTTTTTCTGGTCCTTCACAAAGCCACTCTCCTTGAATTTTATTTTCACTATACATTAGCATATCTTTTTGCTCACATTGCCATCCAGCAGGCAATCCAGTAATGATACCACGAGGAACCTTTTTACACATTTCTTTGTCTGCAAAATTAAATTTAACGTTAATCTTTGTTTTCGTTTCATCTAATGATAAAATCCATTGAATAATATCATTGATCTTAGTTGCTTGTAATGGAAAATGTTGTGTCTCATTGGAATTAGATAAACGAGTCACATACAGTACTTCTTCATTGAGATCAAGCGAATATGATAAATTATTTCGATTTATGATTGATGTTGGCAGTGGTTCTTTTGTAAAATTTGAAATAAAAAATAAATCTGTTGGTGCTAATTCAATCGATGCAATATAGTTACGACCGATGAAATTCAAAGCAGAAAAAAAATAATTAACTGCATCCGGAAATAGTGAAGTAATCGAAAGTGGAATTGTTAAGTAACCAGCACCAGATGTATCTGGATTTTTCAAAAGCATATTTTCATGTGTAACACTACCAAGAAAAAATTTAATTATTAACAAAAACAAATGTTTGATTCAGATAAAACTTACAAATAAGTTTCTGTCGCTCTATAATTACTCCATGAAAGTATATCACCTGGCTTAACATCCCAATCGTTAGGAATTTTCAAGTCAGCAGGTACATTTGATAGTTCAACAAATTTTCCGGTTGTTTTGGATTTAATAGATTCATTTGGTCGGGCAACGAGATCGAAAAATGTAGCCATAATTATTTAGAAAGTATAAAATGAAAGTTAACTATAACAATACGAAGTAGATGAGACTAACAGGCAAAATGAGAAAGAAAATAAATCTTGTGTTAGAAACACTATCTGTTTAAATGTGATGAAAGAATAGAAAAAGAAAAAGAAAGTAAAGTGAAATGAAGTAACAAAGTCGAATACGAATATATATATCGAGACACACAAAAAAAAGGCAAAATAAATATAATTGACGCCAAGAGATTAGAATGATATCTGAATAATTTATATTCATTTGTTTCTTACTAAGCTTGATGATTGTTTTTTTGAAAAACGCAATTTCACATTTGATTCATGAAAATATACCTCATTTATCAAGGGTTCTGATTCTTGAAACAGCTTGTTGATTAGTTTCTTAAATGTTGAGTCAACGGACAAAATAAAGCATCTATTTGAATAGTTTAATTGCAATATGTAAGTAAACGATTAATAAATAAATCATTGAAATAATGTTTATAAGCATATATAACTTATAGCTTTTAGACGGCTAAGCTGTAATGAAATTCAAGGTAAATAAAGGTAATCTAAATTCTTTAATTTCACTCTTATCATATATTGCATGATGATTAACTTCTTGCTAACATTGTCACAATATAAGTGTTTTAGTCAAAATGTTGTTGTCTATCGTTCCCATGTATTGTATGGTTGGACGGAGATAATATATGATAATGCACATCAAAGTTTAGTTTTTAGTTGCTAATATGTATGTCAATTAAAGTTTTTATCGGTTTTATGTAATATATGACCATTATATTCTTTTAAAATATCAATACTTTGTAAAAAAAAAGTGCAGAGATTGATATCAAATAAGAAGATTAGTTTTATAATTTTTAATCATAGTTTGAATCATTAATAATTGATTACCAAGAAAATCCTTCTTAATAAAATTAGTCTGTATAATTTTCTACTTTGAAATACATTTTGACAGACCACCTGCACAAAAAATATTTAGAATTAACTAACTTTCCAACAAAATAAAAAATCATATAATTCATCATGAGTAAAAACATAGCAAGCTATGTTGATATCTATCAAATGCATCAAAGATTAGTGAAAATTTACCAGTTATTTTTAAAGTTTTCTTCAATATTTTTAACTAAGAATTTATTTTGAAAAATCGCATTTCTTTTTTGTGATTTATAGTATGTTTTGATTGGGTGATGAGCAAAAAGGCTTGTTAATGCGATGCGAAGCACAGCATTCATGTAGTCCGTCGCGAGTTTTTTAATGCGATGCGAAGCAGAAGCATTTCTGTAGTCCGTCGCGAGTTTTTTTTTTTTAATGCGATGCGAAGCATAGCATTTCTGTTATGCGTCGCGAGTTTTTAATGCGATGCGAAGCATAGCATTTCTGTTATGCGTCGCGAGTTTGTTTTTTTTCTTTTTTACTTGACCGTACGCATCTTTTCTGTCGTTTTGTGACTCTATGATCTCGAGAACCAAAAATCGTAGAAACCTCATTTAAACGCAAGATAGTAGTATCGAGNGAATGGAGTTTTCTCAGTGATGAATTTCATTATGTCGACATAAAAAAGTATTCAAGATTTCTCTGAGCTGTAGATTTTTCGTGAACACCTGATTCAAGCTTCGCATCGCATTTCGTATTCGAGTAAAACTTGAATACCATCTAGTTTTTCTATGTCAAACATATGCGCCATTCACTCTCTGACTTGCCTGTTTTAAAAATCATAAATAGCAATGGGTTTCTTAGGTCTTATTAACACTAGACGAAGAATTCACTAATCATCTCGAAATTAAACCTACATACGTCTACATTTGAGATCTGAATGCATTAATCTGACCAGAAAAATGACCATTGTAATAAAAGTGAAATGCATAGTTTTAGCATGAACTAACGAAAATAAATGTCTTTTTCATTTCTCTTTTATAATTAATGTGAGACTGGTTAACTCACTTAATAAAATATGTATCATTGTAAATTATTTCTTTTTATTACGATTTTTTAAAATATTGTCAAGTTATTTATTACTATGATTTCGACTTTATCCGCTTATATTCTGTTTTATCATAAAGAACATATTGATCTATTGATGACATACAGCTAATTTATCGAAGCAAGCTCATCATATTCTAATGAATGAATGAATGAGTGGATTCATTCCTTTCTCTATTGGTTAATTACATATAACTGATCTCTGAAAAATACATGAAATTGACGATATAAGTTTTTTGTTATCAACAAACAGGTCATTTTTTCTATCGAACTGTACGTCGACAATACAAACGATAACTAAAGTGGTATTTGCTTCAGACTAGTTATGAAATATTTCGCTGTGGCATAGAAAGAAAAACTCAAGGATGACAATATTAGTTAGGTACAAAATATTTTTAAACATAAAGATTCCAGTATGAAATCAAGCGAAATTCTGACTTGACATTTAGACTGCTAAAGTTGTGAACGGCCAAATTTTGAAGATCTGCTGAAACTAGAGCTATGGAAACAGTATTTTTCTACTTAAAACTAAAGCATGCAGCTAAATTTTCAATGATTTTAAAGCCAATAACTGTAAAAAAAATAATGTGGAACTTTAATCCAGAAAAATGAGTGAAAAAATTTGTTGAATGCATTTCAATAAGTCAGTATACCGTTGAACGTATCAATGAAAAAACAACATTGATTAGAATATGATATGAATAAAAATGTTGAACTTGAAATTACTTTTCTATGGTTTTCAACGTAAAATTCACACCATCCTCTTGGTTGTAACATTCAATCGCCTATTAGTTTGATTATTTTCTATTCGTAGACAATAGATTGGAATTTCATTCTACATTTTATTTTAAAGAGTGTTAGATTTTACCAATCGAATTTCGATAAATCCTTTTTTTAAAATATGAATAATTTATGCATAAAAAAATGATAGTGTTAATGTTAATCAAATAAAAAGATAATAAAAATAATGATGTCTTTCAAGACGAAGTGGTTCTTGCAGTTCTTTGCTCTCCATTTTTAAACGATGAAATTAATTTGTTCTTGTTCCAAAAATCAATTATATACTGATGAATCACTGATATTAATTGTCGATTATGTATACCAGGTGTAAGGCAAATGACAAGAGCTAAATATGAGCGAGAAAAAAAATATATATATTAGTTTATTTTGACAATGACTAAAACCTACTTGCTAAATAACTAAGCAAAAGATTATCGATATTTTGGCAACAATAAGCAAAAAATAGGAGACATATACTACCAACTATTAAATACTAAATAGACAACGTAGAATAAATTTCGATCGAATATATTAAAACAATACCATCGATGGTCGTTCTTTACGCATTTTTAAAACAGATTCACATTTATGCTTAAGGAATGTTTCAAGATGTGCAATACGTTCACATAATCTTTTGTATTTAGTTTCTTTGCTTTGTGTCCTAAAAGAAAGAATAGGATTTTCAGTTCCAATTTAATCTATTCTTACTTACCAGCTCTCGTATTTAGAAACGATATGAACACCATTTATTACTAATAGATCAATCATTACTACTATTAGCATGACAAAGCTAACTAGTGTAAGTACAGTTGGATTTATCTTAAGAATAGAACTATAATTTAAATAGAGAAATCATTTCCTATTCAATGTAATTTAAACTCGTCCTACAAAAAAATAAAAGTAATGATGCCAAAAATAATCAATGGATCATATTCACGTTCCCATTCAAGTAAACTATTGATTGGAACTAAAATATAACGCCAATTAATTAATAATCGTTTAAGTTCGTTCGTTCGACGTGTTAATTCCTATTATAAAATATTCACAGTTTACTTCGGTCATTATAACAACTTACATTTGATTTTAACGGCAATTTACTCACGACTATGTTGAACTTTTCTAACGAATCACCAGTAACGATTGACATTGATAGATAAAACTATTTATCTAGAAAGATTGATATGAACTTCTGAGTTGTCTTTCATCAGTAAATTCATAATAAACCAGTCGATTCATATTAAAAACCATGCAATATATCGTAAAAGCGAGAAAATGACAGATAGCACAAAACTACAATTAAATATATTTTGCCTAAATATAATGTAAGAATAAAACATCTATTGTCTGAAGATCGTCTACCGTGACCGTAGAAGGTTGTAACATGTAAAAAAATAATCCTTATCATAAAAATAATTTTCAGGATGCATTTTATCAGTAGAGATACATGGGAGTTTCGATTTGATTACATTATGTACGTGATAGATGAGAAGGAAAATTGTATAATTTGATTGAATCATCTATTTGATTCTTTGTGTTGAACGAGGAAAAAAGTTCTATGAAAGTGACAAAGTAGTTGAATCTAATGAGCTACGCTATAGCATTTTAACATCTCAAATGAAGAAAAAAACTAAATGCAGTCTTTTGAGAGAATAGATAAGAAAGATAATATGACGCATTCTATTTTACTCTCTTTCGAACAAATGTCATATTAGTAAAATGAATCATACTAAAATTGTAAAATAGAATGCGTCATATTGTGTCTGATGATGATTCCAGTAGGATATCGAGAGCTCACACTCTTCTTCAATAAATAAACTTTCATACTAAAGATATGATCTTTACGGCAGTAATACACTTCATTCTCGCTCTAACTATACTCACTGCCAATCATTCCCACATACGAAATTACTGGTTTTAAATGAAGAAAAATACAGTGATAAGCAGAAACAAAATAGCCTATGGTTCACAATGACTGGTAATTAATTGCAAACATTGTTTGTTAAATGATGCAAGTGATTGATCAAAATTATTCACATTTGATTGTCCAATCAATTTGCCTAAAACAACAAAGGAAGAAAAATATAGTTGAAACACGCTTATGATTAACATTTACCGATTTTCCACACGCACTTCTTCAGAAAAATATTAAGTGATGGATCATTTAATATTTTCTTTTGTATAAAAACTAAAGTTTGCTTTTCAAAAGCTACTTTAGCGAATATATCAGCTAATTGATTCATGACAAGATCATTTTTTTCATGAACGACTGCTGCGCAGACCCTTTCCACAAATTCATTGTAGCTTAATACTATTTCTTCAAAAGCACGCAGTAAAGGTTCATATCCATCAGCTGTCATCGTCAATCGTCCGAGTAAATCAATTATTAATTGGAGCATTTTGTGTCTACCCTAAAACAAACGTTAATATTAACTCTAGCTAAATACAATTATAGTTATTTTTAACAATAAATTACAAATATCTATTGACTAAAGGAACTTTCTATCATGAAATATGTTTTGATATCTCGTGTTAAAATACTGATGGTAGTAATCGATTCTAAATCGATTGAGATAGTGCACTTTTGATTGAAACTGATTTAGCATTGTGCAAAAAAAACATTCATTTGTAATCAGTTGCGTATGATTATTACTGATAGAATTTTATTTCAAGTTTTTTGCTTTACATAAATAGTACGAGATTTATTTATGATCAGCAAATCGATTATAATCAAAAAAATCAGAATAATTGATGAAATGGCAATAGTTTTGATAGTTATTTTTACTTGAATCGATTAAAAGTTAACTTTCTGATTTTAGTACGCAACTTTTTTTTAACATGGAATCTACCGTTTCGAAATGTATCGTTTTCGACGCAGAGAAAATTTGAGTTTTCATCTTTACATAGGTTTTGAAATATTCATCATGTTGCAAGTAAATACATACGAGTAGAGAGCACGAAATCAGATGACAATATCGATTGAGTAACAACTGGTATGTTTCTCTGATATGCAGTGAGCTTATATACTGTTATTGTTAATAAGACAATATCAAGAGAAGCCAATCATAAGAAAGAATTAATCAGTCATTGCCAGATATTGGCTGACTTTGTTTTCAATGTGAAAAGAAAACAAAAAATTATAGAATTGAATCTTAGTCCGCACCAGTTGTACACATATCTGAATAAAATAAAATAATTACATCAGCGAGATGACCGCCCGATTACCACCATTTCTTACGTCTTAATACTTAAACGTGCAGAATGATGAATTGATATTTTAAAAGATAATGCAACTCGAAAATAAATTAAAATTATGCTAACAATGGGACCGTTTGTACTGGTGAGCTGTTTTCAAGTTCAGAGCATGTACATTAGGTAGACCCCAGTGAGATATAAAAAAGGGTTACATGAATTTCGGCCCACGGAATTTTCGGACCAATTTTATACAAATTCATTAAACTCGGAGAAAAAACGAATGTTTTTGAAAATTGGTTTCTAGATTTTTTTTAGTACCGAGCGAAGCGTCGTAGTGCCAAGCGAAGCGGCG